TGAATCATTTGGAATGGTTGAACTGGTTCAGATGAACTGGTTCATTTGGACTGATTCATTTGAACTTTTTCATTTGAACTGGTTCATTTGAACTAATTCATTTGAACTAGTTCATTTGAACTAGTTCATTTGAACTAGTTCATTTGAACTAGTTCATTTGAACCAGTTTATTTGAGATCTTTCATTGAGCTGGTTTATTTGAACTGGTTCATTTGAACTAGTTCATTTTAACTGGTTCAATTGAACAAGTTCATTTGAACTGGTTCATTTGAACTGGTTCATTTGAACTGGTTCATTTGAAATGGTTGAACTGGTTCAGATGAACAAGTTCATTTGGACTGATTCATTTGAACTGGTTCATTTGAACTGGTTCGTTTGAACTAGTTCATTTGAACCAGTTTAGTTGAGCTCGTTCATTGAGCTGGTTTATTTGAACTTGTTCATTTTAACTGGTTCATTTGAACTAGTTCATTTGAACTGGTTCATTTGAACTAGTTCATTTGAACTAATTCATTTAAACTAGATACTTTGAATAATTTCATTTAAGCTAGTTCATTTGATCTGCTTCATTTAGTTAATTTAAAAAAGTTTCTTCGAACTGGTTCGTTTGTATTGGTTCGTTTTAACTAGTTCACTTGACCTGCTTCATTAGAACAGATTCGCTTAAAGTGGCTTATTTGAACTAGTTTATTTGAACTAGTTCATCGCAACTAGTTCATTTGAACTAGTTCCTGTGCACTGGCTCATTTTAACTAGTTCAATTAAGTTGGTTTATTTGAACTGGTTCATTAGAACTGGTTCATTTGAACTGATTCATTTGAACTAGATCATTTGATCTAGTTCATTTGATCTAGTTCATTTGAGCTGCTTTATTTGAACTGGTTCATCTGTACTGCTTCATTTGAACTAGTTCATTTGAATTGGTTCATTTGAACCAGTTTAGTTGAGATCGTTCATTGAGCTGGTTTATTTGAACTGGTTCATTTGAACTAGTTCATTTTAACTGGTTCATTTGAACAAGTTCATTTGAACTGCTTCATTTGAAATGGTTGAACTGGTTCAGATGAACTATTTGGACTGATTCATTTGAACTGGTTCCATTGAACTGGTTCATTTGAACTGGTTCGATTGAACTAGTTCATTTGAACTAGTTCATTTGAACCAGGTTAGTTGAGCTCGTTCATTGAGCTGGTTTATTTGAACTGGGTCATTTGAACTTGTTCATTTTAACTGGTTCATTTGAACTAGTTCGTTTGAACTAATTCATTTTAACTAGTTCATTTGAACTAGATACTTTGAAGAATTTCATTTAAGCTAGTTCATTTGAACTGCTTCATTTAGTTAATTTAAAAAAGTTTCTTTGAACTGGTTCATTTGTATTGGTTCGTTTTAACTAGTTGACTTGACCTGCTTCATTAGAACAGATCCGCTTAAAGTGGCTTATTTGAACTAGTTTATTTGAACTAGTTCATCAAAACTAGTTCATTTGAACTAGTTCCTGTGCACTGGCTCATTTAACTAGTTCATTTAAGTTGGTTTATTTGAACTGGTTCATTAGAACTGGTTCATTTGAACTGATTCATTTGAACTAGTTCATTTGATCTAGTTCATTTGAGCTGCTTTATTTGAACAGGTTCATTTGAATTGGTTCATTTGAACTAGTTCATTTGAACTGGTTCATTTGAAATGGTTGAACTGGTTCAGATGAACTAGTTCATTTGGACTGATTCATTTGAACTGGTGCATTTGAACTAGTTCATTTGAACCAGTTTAGTTGAGCTCGTTCATTTAAACTGGTTCATTTGAACCAGTTTATTTGAGCTGGTTCATTTTAACTGGGTCATTTGAACTTTTTCATTTTAACTGGTTCATTTGAACTAGTTCATTTGAACTAATTCATTTTAACTAGTTTATTTAAACTGGTTCATTTGAACTAGTTCATTTGAACTAATTCATTTTAACTAGTTCATTTTAACTAGATACTTTGTATAATTTCATTTGATCTAGTTCATTTGAACTAGTTCATTTGAACTAGTTCATTTGAACCAGATTAGTTGAGATCGTTCATTGAGCTGGTTTATTTGAACTGGTTCATTTGAACTGGTTCATTTGAACTAGTTCATTTTAACTGGTTCAATTGAACAAGTTCATTTGAACTGGTTCATTTGAACTAGTTCATTTGAACTGGTTCATTTGAAATGGTTGAACTGGTTCAGATGAACTAGTTCATTTGGACTGATTCATTTGAACTGCTTCATTTGAACTGATTCGTTTGAACTAGTTCATTTGAACCAGTTTAGTTGAGCTCGTTCATTGAGCTGGTTTATTTGAACGAGGTCATTTGAACTTGTTCATTTTAACTGGTTCATTTGAACTAGTTCATTTGAACTGGTTCATTTGAACTAGTTCATTTGAACTACTTGATCTAGTTCATTTGAGCTGCTTTATTTTAACTGGTTCATCTGAACTGGTTCATTTGAACTAGTTCATTTGAATTGGTTCATTTGAACAAGTTCATTTTAACTGGTTCATTTGAATTGGTTGAACTGGTTCAGATGAACTGGTTGAACTGGTTCAGATGAACTGGTTCATTTGGACTGATTCATTTAAACTTTTTCATTTGAACTAGTTCATTATAACTGGTTTATTTGAACTAGTTCATTTGAACTGGCGCATTTGAACTAGTTCACTTGAACCAGTTTAGTTGAGCTCGTTCATTTAAATTGGTTCATTTGAACCAGTTTATTTGAGCTGGTTCATTTTAACTAGTTCATTTGAACTAGATACTTTGCATAATTTCATTTAAGTTAGCTCATTTGAACTGCTCCATTTAGTTAATTTAAAAAAGTTTATGTGAACTGGTTCATTTGTAATGGTTCGTTTTAACTAGTACACTTGAACTGCTTCAATTGAACAGATTCGCTTAAAGTGGCTTATTTGAACTAGTTTATTTGAACTTGTTCATCAAAACTAGTTCATTTGAACTAGTTCCTGTGCACTGGCACATTTTAAGTAGTTCATTTAAGTTGGTTAATTTGAACTGGTTCATTAGAACTGGTTCATTTTAACTGATTCATTTGAAGTAGTTCATTTGATCTATTTCATTTGAGCTGCTTTATTTGAACTGATTCATTTGAACTGGTTCATTTGAACTGGTTCATTTGAACTAATTCATTTGATCTAGTTCATTTGAGCTGCAGTAGTAAGGAAATGTCTGTTTTGGAGCGGAAGTCTGTTTTGGAGCGGAAGTGACGTCACATCCGGTTTAGATAAGGTTTTTAGGGAGTGGAAGTCTGTTTTGGAGCGGAAGTCTGTTTTGGAGCGGAAGTGACGTCACATCCGGTTTAGATAAGGTTTTTTGTCAGTGGAAGTCTGTTTTGGAGCGGAAGTCTGTTTTGGAGCGGAAGTGACGTCATATCCGCTTTAGACAAGGTTTTTTTTTTTGGAGTGGAAGTCTGTTTTGGAGCGGAAGTCTGTTTTGAAGTGGAAGTGACGTCATATCCTGTTTGTATATTTTTTTTTTAAGGTCACGTGATGACTTAACAACAATAACAACAAACATAACTCCTACATCTCATGGTAATTTTGTTCAAGATCACGTGGTGGCTCAACAACAATAGCTTGAGATAAGAACGTGATGGCTCAGCAACAATAGTTTGAGATAAGGGTGGAGGCGACGCGTGGAGCCAAGATCAAGGTCAGCAGCCAAGATCAAGGCCAGCAAAGCCAAGGTGATGACTCAGCAACAATAGCTTGAGATAAGGGTGGAGGCGACGCGTGGAGCCAAGATCAAGGTTAGCAGCCAAGATCAAGGCCAGCAAAGCCAAGTTTGAGATAAGGGGGCGTGAGAGTTTTTTTTTGTGAGTGATATGCATGCGTAAAAACAAAAAACAAAAAAAAAGTTGTGATAAGGGGTAGTGATGGCGCGTGGGACCAAGATCAAGGCCAGCAAAGCCAAGCTTGAGATAAGGTATGCATACGTAAAAACAAAAAAAAATGTTGTGATAAGGAGGGTGATGGCGCGTGGAGTGTGAGAAAAAATAAGAAGAAATGCTTACTAAAATAACCAAAAGAGGTTTTAGAATAGCTTTACATATTCGGGAAATCCCTTCATTGACAAGCGCAAGTGAGTGTAGTGTTTCTGAAAAAATGGTGCGATATTGTGTAACGTGTAATCTGCGTGTAAATAAAACTCGATGGAGCAATCATCTTCGAACAAACGAGCACAAGAATAACGCGTTTAAGTCGTTGGATGGACGTGTAAAGCTGTCTTCGAGCGGCTTTCAAAACCGCATCTGTACATATCGTTTTGAGGCATAGTCTGTGGTACTTGGTCCCTAATACTTCGTACCTAGCAGCTGGTACAGGGGTACCCAAGTCACAATGTACCACACTTCCAAGTACCATTTGTTAAGGTATTACTAATCACGAATCTGGCAAGTGCAGCAAGCTTGCATTTTGATTCATTGGACTGTGGTAATCTATATATATAGATATAGATATACATATATAGCTATATATATATATATATATGTATATATTTATATATATAGATAAGTAAGAGAGTTGTATGCAGCACTTCTTTATATGGAAGTCTTATATGGAACGTCTTTTGTTTATGTTTTTTTGTTGTTGTTTATGTTTATGTATGTGCAGTCAAACTTTGGATCTACTCGTAGCATTATCATAGATTATAGTATTAGTTAACTGTGCTTGCAGAACCAAAATTAGCTTCATTTTACATTTTGTTTAAAATGCGAAACTTAAATAGTCAGAACTCGGGCTACAAAACAATTTCAAGTTACGTGTAAATGTGTCTTCTGTGTGTGTGTGTGTGTGTGTGTGTTGGGCATGATATATGTCTCTAGTTAACTGTTATTGGTGTTTGTGTATTGTTCTTTTAAACGCTTCTGGGAAAACTAACTAACTGATCTGATCTGATCTAATCTGGTCGAACCGGATCGAATCGGATCTGATCTGATCTGATCTGGTTTGCTGATCTAGCTGTGCACAAACTGTTGGAGCGGTATTAGCCATGGCATTGTGATGATTAGTATGATTTGTTGATAACCGTTAGCGAATGAGTATAAACTTTTACTAGAATTGCACATATCTTCCTCACAAAAGCACATATGTCCATTGCCTGAACTTTCCATCATGCACACGTGATCGACCATGAATAAATTGATTTGTAATTGTGACGTACACATGCGTCGCACCACCTCGTAGGCTGCAAGAACAAGGACAAGCATAAAATCACATATCGGGACGTGTGTGACTCGTGACACGTGACTCGTGGCTCGTGGCTCGTGACCCATGACGCGTTACTTACGTGATCGCTGATGTCGCACCATCTTCACATAGCAGCCATTGCAGGTCATCAAAGGCGGCTGATCATGCGGCAGCGCCGTATAGTTGAACGGATCCTTGCAACGTGCATCCGTCCACGAATCGCACTCGTAACAGTAAATCGAACGCGCTGCAGTATAAAGCACAACATATATATTAACGAACAGCATTAATCACGCCTGAAAACTGAATTCGGCTGCTCATCTGGAATACAGCAAGCGTATTACTATATATATACATATATCAACTCTAACTATGTCATTCCTACAAAATTGGATGCAATTACAGTGTTAAATTGGAACAAGTATGCGACAACGTGAAACAGAAAAAAGTGAATTTGTTGGCAAAATTTATAGCAACTTTTATAGCAACTTTTATAGCAATGTTTATAGCAACTTTATATCAAATTTTATAGCGATATTTATAGCAACTTTTATGACAACTTTTATAGCAATGTTTATAGCAACTTTTATAACAAAGTCTATAGCGACTAGTATGTCAATTTTTATAGCAACTTTTACATCAACTTTTCTAGCAATTTTTATAAAAAATTTTTTAGCATCCTTTTTACAATTATAGATAATTTTATAGCAGATTTTGTATAGCATTATTGTAGCATTGCGTTAGGTGCATTATCGAAAACCTTTTCATTGTGTTTTGCCTTGGCTGTAAGCGTAAATAATGTTCTAAATATATACAAGATGTTCGACTAACAAATACCCTGCCTTCTTCAATTTATGTACATAAAGTTTTTGCAAGTATTTGCCTATATTGATACTCGTTCAAGGAGTAAGAAGAGTATATTAGCTTTGGAGCAATTTATGTTTATCTTTGTTTAAATGTTGCATGTCATGTCTCAAAAAGTGTAAAGAGAATTGGAAAATTACTTATATAAATTGGATTTTACTTTATCATGCTTAGCATAAAAATTATAATTTTATTGACGAACATCAAATCTGAAATATATCCTTGTGTATAGAGCTTCCCTTTAGAAATTCTTGAAGACCAATTCTTCTTCTTCAACAATTTTGCTCGACAGGAGCTGCTGAGCTTAATTGTTAAGTCACTCTTTATATTTATTTAAAATAATATATGCAACACTATTGGAGGGCGTGGCAAATATATAAGAAATATTTTAAATAAATTTGTATTTGTTGGAGCGTCGTTAGTATTTTCCATGGCTCTAATAGCGCAGCGAGTTTCGATGCGCAGGCTTCTCGATTCAAAGTTGAATTCACCGCCTTTTCGTTTCTCTGCCTCGCACCGAACCACACTCGACGACAGCGTTGTAGCGCTGTCGTCGCGCTATAACGGAACTTCTTAAAGCGACAAAATGCAAAGGACCAATCAGGGCGCAATTAGCGGCTGATGCAATATTTTTTAGTATGATGAAATTAGGAATTCTGGTAATAACCAGAATTCTCATACAAAGCAATACACACACAGGAATTCTGGTAATAACCAGAATTCTCATACAAAGCAATACACACACAGCGCGTACGTGCAACACGCAGGAACAATCAAATACAGTGCGTACATACAGTACGCTCCGACACGGCCATCCTGACCTTGACACGTCCTCGTGTAATATGCCAAACATTAACTTTAAAAATGTCTTTGTAATAGATTTCAAACTTAATTCATCGTCTCTTTTAGACGGATATCCAACCAATAATCATCGTTTCTCTTAAACGGATAACCATTAACAATCGTCTCTCTTAGACGGATATCCAACTGATAAAATATTCAGTTCAACATTTCTTCATACAAACTTTTAACATTTATTCTTAATTAAAACATTTGAAAGCATATTTCTTTCAATTCAATTCAATAACTTCACCTATGCAAGTTACAAAAATAAAACATGATGCTTGTTTTATTACATAATATTTTGCCAAATTGTCGATTTTACATTTTCTTTAACTAAACTTCCAAATTTCATTCAAAAAGAAACAATCATCGTCTCACTTGGACGGATAACCTTCGTCTCACTTGGACGGCTCACCATCGTCTCACTTGGATGGATAACCTTCGTCTCACTTGGACGGCTCACCATCGTCTCACTTGGACGGATAACCTTCGTCTCACTTGGACGGCTCACCATCGTCACACTTGGACGGATAACCTTCGTCTCACTTGGACGGTTCACCCTCTGCTGCTATCAGACCATTTGACGAGCCTGGATCTTCATCCTCAATGTCCAGCTCATGGGGCACATTTCCCTCTGGAAATTTTCTTGTGTCCTCGTGACAGTATTTATATAATCGTTTACTCGATAACGACTTTAACATGTATCTGTCACCGTCTAGGACTTTAACTACCAATAATGGACCCTTGAATTTTGGGTCTAGTTTTGTCTGGTGTCTCTCCTCGTTCTTGAGAAGGACATAGTCACCAACACTGTGTCTTACAACGGCGGCCTTGGACTTATCAAATCGATTTTTGTTGTAAAAGGCTAAAGATTTCATACTGCTACTTGCTCGAGCCCGTGTGGAGTCTAAGTCTACTTCCAATTCTGTGTCCAATGGAGGAACTAATCCAAGAGGTCGACCTTCTTTCCCTATTAACATTTCTAAGGGACTAGCCTCAGTTGCCCGATTTGTTGTGCAGTTTAAAGCTAGCTGCACCTCGCCGAGAGCATCTTGCCAGGGCCTTTGGCTTAATTCGACTGCAGTTAATAGGTTCTTGAGCGTGCTCATAACGCGCTCAACTTGTCCATTAGAACGACTTGCCCCAGTCGCGATTAAATGAAGTTTTATGGTTTTTGAACAGCAAAATTCTGCAAACTGCCCGCTAGAAAAACATCTACCCTGATCAGCTATAATGCGTGTTGGTGCACCAAACAAGGAAGTTGAAGACTTTATGGCTCTGATACAACTCTCCGTATCTATTTTGAGAGTGTGGTACAGGTGTACGAATTTTGTGAAGCTGTCAATTTGAACAATGATATATTCCTTTAAATCACTTTTACCACTTAATTTGCCAGTAATGTCCATATGGACGGTGTGCCAAGGGATGCTAACCTTTGGTATAGGATGTAATTCTGCTTGAACTTTGCCGGAATGTGACTTTGCTGTCCTGCAGGTTATACAATTGTCAACAAATTTACGGACATATTTGTACATTTTCTCAAACCAGTAAAATTGGTAAACTTTGTCAAGTGTTTTTTGCCAACCAAGGTGCATGATTGACTCATGTACCTGGTTAACTACTGACCATCTGAAATTTCGGGGCACAACTGGCAAGAATCGTGTCTTACCATTTTTTTGGATTTTACGAAACAACATCCCTTTTCTCAAATCATATGTTTTAGTTACTTCGTCTAGTAGGTCATTTGAATTCAGTTTACTGACAAGGGCAGCAATATCCGGGTCCAATTGCTGTTCGGCAAACAACCGCTCTCGGGAATTTTTTCCAAAATTAATTGTTTCTGAGTGACTGGGTTTCTAGATAAGAAGTCGACATGTGCCATACGTTTTCCTTCTCTGTACTGTATGTCAAACTTGAAAGATTGTAAATAAGACCACCAGCGATGAACTCTAGGAGTTAAGTCTATTTTGGTTCGCGATGCCTTTAACGAGTTACAATCTGTATAAACCACAAATTCTCTGCCAAGCAAGTAGTGACGGAAATGTTTAACGGATGCAAATACTGCCAGAGTTTCAAGCTCATACGAGTGGTACCTAGACTCGGCTGGCGAAGTTGTTTTACTAAAATATTCTACAACGTGAAGCTTATTGTTAATTCGATGTAAAAGCATGGCACCAAATCCGATTGAGCTAGCGTCGGTGTGTAGTTCTATAGGGTATTGCGGGTCGAATATTACCAGAACTGGTTCGTTTGTAAGAATAGTCACAATTTTCTTGCGAATGCTTTCCAACTCAGTAGTCCACGCAAAACTTTCCCTTCCTGATGTTAGGGAATACAACGGCTTTATGACTTGAGAGAATCCGGGTACGAATTTGCGAAAATAGGATGCAAGACCAATAAACTGCCGTACACCAAAAACCGTCTGTGGCGGTGGCAACGATGTTAACGCAACAATCTTTCGCGAGTTTGGTCGAATTTCCCCTGCTCTTACCTCATATCCCAGATATTGAACGACTGTTTTTAAGAAACTACATTTGTTAACATTAAAAATGAATCCAGCATCTGTGAGAATGTCTAGTACTATTTTCAACCTTTCCAATCCTAATTCGACTGTGGGTGACACGATCATGATATCATCCATGTAAACAATCACGTATGAATAGGCCAAGTCACCCAAGGCACGCATGACTGCCCGTTGGAAAACGGATGGCGCATTTTTGAGTCCGAACGGCATGGTCAGGAACTCATATTGACCGTCCGGGGTCACAAATGCAGTGTATTCTATGGAATCAGGGTGGATAGGAATTTGGTGGAAACCACTCGCCATATCAAGACACGTGAAGTAATTTGCGCCACGCAGCCTAGCGATCTGGTCGCTAATGAGCGGCAAAGGGTACCTGTCTGCGATTGTGTTAGAGTTTAACTCTCTGTAGTCGACACAAAGTCGGTCTGTACCATTTTTCTTCTTGACAAGCAGCATAGGACTGGCAAAAGGGGAGCAGCTGGGTCGAATAATGTTGCATTTAAGTAACTCACTTAACTTTTCTCGGACAATGTCTCTTTCTTCAGGGCTAAGTCTATAGGGCTGGCGTTGTACAGTTTTGGTTGGATCAATCAAGCGAATTTTCATTTCCCCTGTCGTGACTCGTGTAGATGGTGCCCCTTTTACAAGTGCAGTGGAGTAACTCTCAAGCATTTTTATTAGTTTGTCTTTATCAGCCTCGCGCAATTCGGTATCGAGATTTGTAAGGTCAACTGGTTCCCTATCTATTGAGCAAATATTTACGGCTTTGGCTTTTACTACGTTAAACTTGTTTTGTGATATAGTGACATTAAATCCTTGTTTAAGAATTTCGCGGCCAATAACAATGTCGCTTTTCAAATGATTATCTTGCACTACATGGAACAATATTTGAAGTGCGTTCTCATTTATGGTGACGGCTTAATATTTGTAAGGTGCTATATATGCCAGCATCGCCTATACCTTTTAGCATGATAATGCTGTTAAAACGCTTACCATCTAGCTTACTACATATTTTCTCTTTAATGAGTGAACACTCTGCGCCAGAATCAAAAGAAA